ATATAATGCATTTTATTCCATGCTATCAGTTCCTCAGTTGAATTCCCCACAAAAAACACTGTCACAAGCATAAGCTGTCTTGTGAATGCTCTTCTTGGTTACTGCCTGATGGAGGAGGCCAAGGTACCCCATATCCTCTGACCTAAATGAGGACACAGGCTGTTGACAAGGGCCACCTGACAGGAAGGCTCTCCTGCTCGGGGGGTAGTGGTTTTAGTGTTTTTCAGGTGTGTGTCTCCAAGAGTAGTGTGTTGGCCCTGGCTGGATGCCAGGCACCCACAAAAGTTGCTCTCTCCTTCCCCTTCTCAGCTGGACAGAGACACAAAATATAACAAAGGTTCATAAATTGAGATAAGGGCCAGGAGAGATCACTCACTGAATACTGTCATGCGGAAAACAGACTCAAAGTGGGGAAATTAAGTGAATTTATTATTAACAAAATCAGAGCAGGAGAATGAGAAGCAAATCAAATCTTAAAAATACCTTCCCCCCATCCCTCCCTCCTTCCTGGGCTCTACCTCCTCCTCTGCAGCGGTGTGGAGGCTACGGTCAGTTCATCACTTGTTTCTGTTGCAGCTCAGGGAGAGGAGTCCTTCCCCTGCTCCAGTGTGTGTCCCTTTCCATGGGATGCAGGCCCTCAGGACTAGCCTGGGTCCTCCACAGGGTCACAAGTCTTACTGGGAAACTGCTCTAGCATGGGCTCCTCTCTTCATGGGTCTGCAGGTCCCTTCCAGAAGCCTGTTCCAGCATGGACTTCCCATGGGTTCAGAGCCTCCTTTTGGGCATTCACCTGCTCTGGCGTGGGTCTCCTCCATGGGCTGCAAGTGGATCTCTGCACTTCCATTAACCTCCTTGGGCTGCAGGGGCACAGCTGCTTCACCATGGTCTTCACAGGCTGCAGGGGAATCTGCACTCCAGCACCTGGAGCGCCTCCTCCCCTTCCTTCTCCACTGGCCTTGGTGTCTGCATAGTTGTTCCTCTCACATATTCTCACTCTTCTCTGGCTGCAATTATCTCTGTGTAATAACTTTTTTCCTTCCTAAGTATGTTATCACAGAGATATTGCTATCACCACTGATTGGCTCGGCCTTGGCCAGTGACAGGTCCACCCTGGAGCTGCTGTCACTGGCTCTGCCAGACATGGGGAAGCGTCTAGCAGCTTCTCCCAGAAGCCACCCCTCTCTGTGTAATAACTTTTTTCCTTCCTAAGTATGTTATCACAGAGATATTGCTATCACCACTGATTGGCTCGGCCTTGGCCAGTGACAGGTCCACCCTGGAGCTGCTGTCACTGGCTCTGCCAGACATGGGGAAGCGTCTAGCAGCTTCTCCCAGAAGCCACCCCTGTAGCCCTCCTGCTACCAAAACCTGGCCACGCAAACCCAATACACCATGGAGGGCTAAAAGCCAGTGAATGGCTCATGTCGGTGGGAAATCTTCTGGAGGTGTAGAAAAGGATGCAGCTTCTAGAGCAGAATATGACCTGCAGCTTGCACCCTTCACATGCAGACTCCCCTGGCTAGCCTGTGGGAAACAGGGATGTGGGGAGAGCTCCTCAGCTGCCTGAGGGCAAGAGGGAGGTTTAGGTTGCATATTATGAAAAGGTTCTTTACCCAGAGGGTGGTCAGACACTAGAACAGGCTCCCTAGGGAAGTGGTCATGGCCCCAAGCATGCCAGAGTTCAAGAAGTATTTGGACAATGCTCTCAGGCACATGGAGTGCATCTGTATTTTAAGGGCACGGCCCATTTAAATGATGAAAGTAGACTACAAAGAGCAACAACAAAAAGAGCACATGATGCTTGCCTGCATCTCAGCTTTTGCTGTGAGCTAAACCTCAGCTCCTGGTGTGTTGTGGTGCTCCTTTGGGTATTTGGTGTCTATGATTTAAACCTCATGGCACTGCAGGAACTCATCCTTTCATTGACCGGGATCGGCTCTGCGGGAGGCAGCTGCTCCTGACCTGCTCCTTTTCTTTCTTCTCATCAATCTCTTGGGACCTGGTTAGTTCCTTTCATCATAAAATCATCGAATCACAGAATGGTTTGGGTTGGAAGGGATCTTAAAAATAATGTAGTTCCAACCCACCGCCACGGACCTTCCACTAGACCGGGCTCAGAGCCCCATCTAGCCTGGCCTTGAACACTTCGAGGGATGGGGCAGCCACAACTCCTCTGGGCAACCTGTTCCACTGCCTCACAGTAAAGAATTTCTTCCTAAAAATCTTTTCTTTTTAGGAAGAAAAAAAAAATTGCAATCCTGTGATTCTCCCTAGGATCCCTTGGTAACACTTACAGGAGGTTTTTGATCAGACATGAGGAACAAGCTGCTACTTTCTAACTGGTGCTCCTTTTTCCGTTTCAGGTACGATGGCTGAAGAGACAGCACCAGGGGTCCGAGCGAGGCGGCAAGGCGCTCTCTATACCCTTTTCCCTGACCATTCAGTAATAAAGCAGTTAGACCAGTTGGACATCTCCAATGGTCTGGACTGGTCCCTGGACCACAAGACCTTCTTTCACATCGACAGCCTGTCATACGCTGTCCATGCCTTCAACTATGATGTGCACACTGGAAAGATTGGTATACATGCTTTTTAACTTTGGTGTCTACTAATGCTATTACTCTTTCTGCAGCAAGACCTGTGCCTGTGAGATGCAGCGATTTACTTGACAGATCTCATATCTTATGGTCAGCAGGCTGATTATGATATTTCTCAAATTTAGTTACACACCAGGTGTATTTGGTGAACAAACCTTTGATAGTCCAGCTTACTTTCATCTGGAGACATGGCTCATATTTAGACCCGTTCAAGGCGCTGCAGGGAAGAAGACATTTATACTGTAGAATGAGAAAGAGCTTATAGGATGCTATTTATTCTTGAGTGCCATCTGCTGGAATACTTTGATTGTAGAAGCTCCATAAATACAAGTAGAGAACACGTGTGTGTGTGTGTGTGTGTGTGTGTGTGTGTATCACAGAAAGGTATTTGGAGAATCAAGTTATCATTGTCTTTGAGGTTTCCCAATTCTGCAATTACAATTGCCCTCAGATGTTGGCAAATTTAGCTTAAATTCATTTTCTGGATAAATATTTTTTTATTATACCTGCAAAAAGGAAAAATTAAGGGCAAGCAAAATATATATAAACTCATTTCAAAACTCTGTGAAATATCTTTGTGCTGTATCAGCCTGATATGTTCCATGGGAATTTAAATGGATGAACAGCCTTTGTACTCTAACGAGTGTGGACTTTGTATAATGAAAATCGCAGAAGATAATTACATCCGCTCAGATTTCATTTTGTTGAGAACATCTATTTCTACAGATTTTAGGATAAAATATTTCTAAAGAAGATTTAACGCAACTTTTCCCCCCCTGCAAATATAAAAATGTAGTGACTTTGAGCTTCCTAGCCCTGACTCTATGCTCCAACTGTCTGTTTTTGGGTGGGGTAATGGCTGGAGGGTGACAGTGGGTGGTCTCCTGCCCATGGGCCCTGCTCCAAGGACCATGCATGTGCTCACCTACCCAGCTGCACTGCATTTCTGCACTTGGTAAAACAAGAGAAGTCCTAGTTCAGTACAATCTCAAACTGTAGTGGCATTACTGGGGGCTTGTTTCTGCCAGGCTAAGTTAGGCTTTTATCGCATCTGCAAAATGTATACGTGATGTACATTTTGCAGCATGTCATTCTCACAGAGAAAGAACTTAGCTGTTTGCAAGAGCATGGAAGATGTTAGGCTGGGATCTGTCACAGAACCAGCAGCCCACATAACATCAGCTTTGTAACTCTTCCTGCAGCCTGCCCCAAACTGTTGTACCATCTAGAAAAGGAGGAGCAAATGCCCGACGGGATGTGCATAGATGCAGAAGGGAAGCTCTGGGTGGCCTGTATTGATGGTGGCAGAGTCATTCGTATAGACCCAGAGACGGGTAAGTCCTCCACCAGCATGTGCATATGAATCTGAGAGGAATGGCAGCCAGGAGGAATGGTTTGAAGGTAAGAAGGTATCATTTATTGCCCATTTCTGCCCCATGGGCTGCCAAGAACATTGCTGGTCCAGGCCTCAATCACGTGGAGTGCAGCTCTCTGTGCTGCCTCCCATTGTCAGGTACCCCTGCTCCCATGGTTGCCCGACACAGCTCACACTCTTAATAATGCCACTAAAACCCAAAAAATGTACTGCATATCTATTGCAATTAAAAAAAAAAAATCTCCTTGTTGAAATGTGTAACTGGGAAATGTTGTTAAGGAATGATGGCTATTCCAGGCCACGTGCCTCTGCCCCTCCTGGCCTCACATCCTATATGGATTCACTTTGAGAAAAGGAAAGGAAGCTTCACATATGTAGAAGATTGACTGAAAAACAGTTAGAGAAGAGGCAGGTGAAGAAATCTGATTTCCCTGCAAGCTGTTCTTTAGGATATGGTCTCTGGCTGAAGGACAGAGACCTTCTGAGTAAACGCCACATCTGTGCCCTGTGCACTTACAGTACATTCATAATTACATGCTTCCTAGAAAACAGACATTAGAAAACAATGGCACATTTTTTCCCAGGAAAAAGAATCCAAACTGTGAGGCTGCCCACACCGAGGATCACCTCTTGCTGCTTTGGTGGAAAAGACTACTCAGAAATGTACGTGACATCTGCATATGATGGACTGGATGAGGCCACCTTAGCCAAGGAACCTCATGCCGGAGAGATTTTCAAGGTGAGGAGATTTTCTTTCTTTCTATACATCAGATCTGCCAGGCCTTGTCTTCTAAGAGTGAGGTGCCCCCAGATGTCCTCAAGCATCCCATTCACCTGATGAGCTGCCCCAGATGCATTGCTTGTCCCCCATCCAGGCACAGCTGCTTTTGTAAAGCTGCTCATGTATTTGGAAGGAAGATTTGGAGACATTGTTAGTAACAGTGTTGATAGGCTGTGTTAGCTGAAATCAGCTGGTTGGGACCTGAAGGGAGCCAGTGGATCTGGACCTGCCCTGTGTAGCATGTTCTGTAATACATTGTGAAGTATTGGGTTTTGCTCTTATCTCTCACTATATTTTCAGCACTTTTGAAAATTTCATTCACTTACTTCTCAGTCTTTAATTGTGCCAGAAAATCAAAATGTTTACAGCACAGATTTCTCCTTTAAAAACTAAATGCTTAAATTCACCAGGACAAAATTCTGCATCCCAGTCCCTAAACTTTTGGGATTTTTTTTTTTAGCCTGTTAAAAGTGGCTGCTACTTTTTGAGTAACTTAATAATCCACATTCTTTTCCATCTGAATCTGAAACTTGTTTCTCTTTTCATTTTTTTCACTTCATTAGCAAAACCTACATCAGGAGAATAAAATATACCTCTTAATCAGGATTTCCCATCAGCCCAAACCAAACTGTATTATTGGTTTGGCAGCAGGATAAAGATATGTTCCAGGAGGAATGGAGATCTAGTCTGGGATCTGGGACTTCCAACTTTCTAGGTGAAAGCAGTGCTTGGAGCAGATTTCTCATGGCTGAGAACTGATAGAAATCTCGAGCAACAGAGTTTAGAAGCCCATAGGAGGAATAAATGAGTATGCTTTTGTTCCTCAGTTCTCCAGGGGAATTAGTATTTTTCAAACTTACATTTGTCTTGCACGGGCAAAGCAAGTTAAAAATTACTATGACTTGTTTTGGAGATAAGGAGCATATGTAAGGGCCACAGATAATGTGTATACTAGCAAAAATTATTGAGTGGTGCTTGATAATCTTAGTGATCTCAAAGAGTTTAAAAGAACTCCATGTAATGACTCTTTTTTTGGGCTCCTCTTGAAGCAGGAGACCCTCCATGTAGGAGTCAGTTGCTGTGATATTTTTTCTACATCATTTGAATGTTTTCATTATACTCAGTTGGAGAGTTTCCGTTATTTTATTTTATTTTACTTTTATTTATTTATTTGTTCCAACAGATAACAGGCCTGGGTGTGAAAGGGATCCCACAGAATTTCTATGCTGCTTGAACATTGACACTACATGACAAAGAAGAAATGCTTGCATCTTGTAGTAACTCTGACCAGGAGAAGTGAAATTAACTACAGAATTTATCTGTGTGAGGATTTCTAAGCCCACACTTGAGAGTGTGCTTGTTTGGAATTGAAGATATTTCTGTGGGCTCATGTCTTGATGCAATAGGTTAGAGAGGTAAAGTTAATGCGTTGCACCTTGATAGCTTTTGTGACTTACCATGAAGCTCTTCAAGCTCAAGCTTAGTTTTGTTGAACTTTCTGATGACCAGCTCTGGATTTTCAAGTCTGTTCAGTTCCTGAAGCAGAATCTGACTCCTCATGTTACAGTGATGTACCAACAATGATCTGGCAGATTTTAATAAACATTTTAAGAGTGATGACTTGAACTGGACTGTTCCTCTGCTGTGGGACTGCCCTGGAGGTGTTTTTTTGATGATCAGACCTATTTGCAGTATCCAGGCTCCATTTTTACATCCTTCCTAGCCTGTTTCTGGGCTGTCCTGTCGTTAGGGCACCATTTAGGCTGCTGAAAATAAACTATATTTAAAATAATGCTTACAGATATTTTTTCCTCCTACGTTCAGATATTACCATCAAAACGCCGAGTGACCACACACAGTGCACAAACAGACTGTGAGCTACCAGAACGGCCCATGATACCCAAAATGGATGCTTGGTAGAGTTGTCCTGTCAGGGGTCGTATTTACACCCACACACATGGACCTCTCTTTGCTTTCCGTGTCTTACTGCATTCTTGGCTTCACCTTCTTGTGCCCTTTCTTCTGGAACTCTTCCTCTCCTGTTTCAAGTATTTTCCTCCTTTTTCCCTGTAGATTCTCCCCTCTCCTCCAGAAAGCCCAACATCAGGGTGTATTTTCAGAGGCTATTTAAATAACAACCCATCCTGGATTCACTGAACCACTGTGATCCTTTCAGGATTTGAGAATGCTTGAGGCCTGTGGATGCACAGTGAAATCTAGCCTTGGCATTGAATTTGCTGTCCTTTTACTGCCTGGAAAGATACACAGTACATAATACATTTTCAGATCCTTAATGCTGACACTTTGTGATGTGACAAAGAAGTAAACATTACACATCATTTACCAGACTAGATGTTCCAGTGTCTTCCTCTGAGGTATTTGACCTTTTCACCCTTGCTATTCAAAGCCTTGAGTTAGCCCTCAGACACTATGAGTAGGGAGAGAGTACTCCTCATGAGGATAATCTCCCCCAGTAACTCATGCCTGGAGGAGCAGAGGAACTTTAGCCATGTAGAAATGGTTAACACAGCTTCCATGGGGCTGTATGCAGATTGCCTCTAGAATTAGCTGTTTTTCCCAAAACCAGCATCCCTCAGGGCCAAGGGTCCCTCACAGCAGTTTTGGAAGAACCAAGTTGGGTTGATTTCTTCCTTAAAAAATATCCTTATTGCCCAGCTCTCTTATGTGGTAGCCTTCTGGCCTGCTGGCAAGCAGGAGATCTGGTTCTGAGCTCTGATCAGGCAGAGGGCAGGTCAAACCACATATCCCAGGAAAATGTGCTGCCCATTTCAAAGGTGGATGTGACAGGGAAGGGTAGGCAGTATATTTGGCTCCTTCAGTTGAACTGGGTCACAGTCCAGAAAGAAATTTGAGATCCAGAGGACCAAGAAGGGAACTTTATTCACTGAGCACTATTGAGTATGCTTGGCCATTGAACAGGATTTTCCAAAGTGCATTATTTCAGTGCAATTACCTGAAGTCTACTGTAAAACCCAGATTAGGTACTTTTCAGACACTTATTCTAGATGATTGCTTCAGGTCATCAGCAAAAAGTTTGCTCCTGTGCTGCTTGACCAGATAATTGGTACAACAGGATAAAAGATCTTGGCCCATTGCTCTGGCTCACTCTTACCTTGCCCTTGAAGAGAGGTGAGTCCAGAAAGCTGCACAAAGATGACTTAATTGAGAAATAAAATGTTCATTGTAATGTTTGCTCAACAACTGGGCTATTGTTTTTTTTTCCCAAGTCATAATTCCAATAGTAATTAAGCTGTTGGGGGTTCTTAAGAGCAAAGGTGTTAAATGCCCGTTGGTACATTGACAATTATGCAAGATTTCCTGTTTACCTCATCTGGAGAGGAATGTGAAGGCAGGATGTTTGGAGGCAAGTCGAGTGTCCCAACCTTTAATTTAAAAACAAAATGTAGGAAGTAAGTGCAGGTACCTTATTTAATAAAAATTACCCAATTATTTGCGAAATTGCCTATCTACTAGGGTCTTTGTTCTGCCAGAAAAGCAAAGTAGATAATTTTGAAACAATTTGCACTTGAGAAATCCTTAATACCCTTGTAAACTTTTTTTTCTAGAGCTTTCCCAGGCATGCAAGCCAGGGTTGCTGGTTTATAATTCTCCAGCCACTCCTTCCTCCATCTCTAAAGGTAGGCATGGTGTGTGCTGCTCTCAGGCTCCAGGGTTGGAGTGCTTTTGGAACCCTCTTTTTGTAGCACAGCTTTCCAAACTAAAGAAAGGTTTGAAGGTGAATTTCTCTCTGTTACCCAAAGACCCACTGCTTCACTTCT